ACAGGAGTTGAAAGTAAACTGACATTCTATTAGGAAGCTAAGCTCTGAGAGTTTACACTATAAAAAGCCCTAACCAATGCAACCCCAATTAACCAAAGCTCTCAATTAAGGGTTATTTCTATCTCCTGGGGCTGGTATCTAAAACCCCCAATGCACACGGAAGGAAGGGAGGCAGGCAAGAGAAGGCTGCGTGGTTGTCCCAAGACGTTCAACAGCAGACCAGAAAGGAGGTACAGGGTCCCTAGCAGCTGAGACACAGAGAAGACACCAGAACAAATCACCAGTGCCACAGTACTGATTAATACATAACTAAAAATAAAGAGTAGCCATCAGTTTGAGTAAAATACGATTATGCCTATTTAACAACCAAGAAAAATAGAAGTCGCCGAAACTTAAGCCACTTGTCTCAGAGCGCAGCCGAGCTGTCAAGGAAAGCCGCCTCAACCGAGAGTGCCTGGGCTGGGATCCTGGCTTGGCTTCTTGCTGAGCTGCTTCACACTGGGTAATCTCCTTCACCTAACTGCCTTGGTTGACTCACCTGTAAAATAGGGGTATTACGGTACTGACCTCAAACGGCGGTTGTGAGGACTGAACCAGTTAATAGGTATAAAGCCTTTGAACAGCGCAGGCACATAGTAATCAGGAGGTTTTAGCTTTTAAGAGGGTGAAAGTGGGACTAAGACCTTCTGACTCCAGGTCAGTATCCGCGTTCTACCGTATCCTGTTAACTTCCAGGGCCCATAAGGCGGCCTTCTATTTACGTGAGGGGAGCCACAGATCATCACCCAGCTCTGCCTTTACCTAGGGGATCTCTAAACTCTGAGGTCCCAAGCTACACTAGAGAATTCAGAGTTGCCTTCTAGGGGCCTGGGCAGGGGGTGGCCCAGCTCTGAGCCTAAGCTTTCCCTAGGCACTTAACAGACAGGCGGGAGTTTGCAGGCGGCCAGCCAGTCCACTGCTAGGATCCTGGACTCCCTTCCCACACTACCTCAAGTCCTCCCCTCAGCTACCTCAAGTCTACTTCCTTCCTTGCTTCCCCATGTCTCCACACTCCCAGAGAAAGCCTCTACTGTTTCCTAGGATACCCACCACTCAGGAGTGACCTTGACCTTGCCGTGTCTTCTGCATGCCTCATGGAGGAAACTTGGCATGACCTCTTCTAATACGGTGCCTGGCTCACAGTCACCACTGGGCATGGGTACACACACAAGCATATCCCCCCAAGAGCCGAAATGCCCACCCATGTCAAGCCAATTAAAGGCATCTTGAGTACAGCAAACATCAAATAACTGGTAAAGCAGAACTAGTGTCTTACCAAGCTGGGGTAAGCTAAGTTCCCAGCATTTCCAAATTTCTAAATATTCGGTTTATGAGTCTTGAGAGTTTGTTCTAGATATTTTTTTGGTCCTGACTTGCTATTTGTCAGAAAGATCACCGTGTGCATTAGTGAGAACACCAGAATTTCTGAGTTTGACAACGAGCTCAGGCTTGCCTGCCGTCTCCCAAGTGGCAGTAATCTTGAACTGAGATGTATTCAGGAAAGGGTCCATCAGCAATGGAAACAGGAGGATAAAACCAAACTGTTGATGCCTTATCTCCTCTTTTTTTGTGAAAAGTACTTAAAAGTTAAGACATTAACCAAATAATTTACAGGATTGTTAACCTGGTTTTAAAAAGCCTAGAGGCTGGTTTGAATGCTACCACTAACTCATCTGGGGCAAACTCCGTCCCTTTTCTGGGCTTGTTTCCTTTCCTGTGAAAAAGAAGACCAGATCAGTCACCTAAGACAGCTACTGACTCTGAAGCTTCTTCTCCACATAAGGCTCTGGCTGGGATCTGTCTGGTCTTTGTTCAGAGAAAGGAAGGACAGAAGACACGGAAGTCTCCCAAACAAAGTTGGATGAGACCAAGAACTACATTAAGTCCCCTCATCTTTGTGATACTGGATTATTTACATGTCAAATAACTTCTAAGACTATAGAAATGCCCTCTGAGTAGTATTCACTAGAGTTGATACTGAAGGGGGAAAAAACACATACTCTCTATTTGGCCCAAGTGTGAAATAAATTCCACTGTCTCTCTTCTCTACCCAAGCACACGGTCCTTCTTTCAAAGGCTCCCCTTCTTTCAAGCCCACCTTCTCTGCTAACTGCTGGCTGACTCCTGATTCTTATTCCCGTCAATTCTCTACAACACTCTGTACAAAGCCCTTGTTAATGAGCCACGTTGCCTTTTCCGCCCGTGCCCTTAATTAGCATTGAGGTCTTCTATAGGTCTTCAAACTTTTCAAATTAAGTTCCTTTGGGGCAAAGAGTGTCCTGCACCCCCACCCCCATGCAAATACCACTATAGGGTCTTGGTGAAAGTATGTGAATTTGGTTCAGTTGAGACTAAGGCAGATTAACGATTTTTGGTCTATTTCAAAATTATTCTAAATCGCAGGAGACTATGCAAAAGGTGATTGCAAAGGACTTTCTGTTTAACGATAAAACTGAACGAGATTATCTCTAAGATTCCTTCCAGCTCTGACATTTCTGAATGATATCAGCGTGCTGTACCCAGTGCCCCAGGGCAGATTAAGACTGCTAAATTTTGGAAGCTGAAGTAAGGAAAACTTAACTTGGAGTGGGTCTTTGTTCTCCACTTTAATATTAATAGCAAAAAACAGATGCCTATTTACTGCTTGCTATATTTACACCTGACTTGTAAATGTGAACATCAGTTTCATAAACCAAGACCATGCGCATTTTCTTTACTGCAGAGCCCAGAACATTACCTAACCCATAATAGAGGCTCAAATATTTTGAAGACTCCAAACAACTGAAAGGGACATACTAAGTATGTAGCCTAAAGCAAAATATTTCATTTCTCTAGGCCTCAGTTTTAGGTCACAAAGGGAGGAAGAAAATACCAGTGTTTCTGTCAACCTGGTGTTGCTGACAACACACGCAACAGGATATGTTCTATGGTCAAACAAGTTTGGGAAACTTGAACAAGAACACTGTGTCTCTCAAAGGGGATGAAGGTGGAAGAGAATTAAAAATGTAGCCTGAACTTACTAAGGCAGTGAATTCCTCCTTATCTGGAGCACTTAGTGACATTCCCAGGCCACACAGCAAACCTATGACATAGGTACCCTTATCTTATGGATAAAGGAATGCTCCCTACAGTTTTAAACAACTTGTCCCATGTCTCACGCAGTCAGTTTGGACAAGCCATGACTGAAAGTCAGTCTAAGCCCAAAGCCCAGGGTCTTAACCACTATGCGATGCTGCCACTGTTTCCTGTGGAGTTCTGACAAACTCGACATGTGAGAATCTGAAGAGTATTTATAAGGAGGGTGAGGAAGGAAAGACTTCAAACCCAGGACCAAGTTTCAAGACTGGCATCAATGAACTGAGGGGAGAAGGGGATCCTCTGGCAAAGCTAACTCCCACATCTCAAGGCAGTCACGTAATATGGAAGTCCAGATCACTCATTAAGCACGGCGGAGAAGACAGCCTGAGAAAGGAAGAGAAGACCTTGCAGAATCCAGGTAAGCTGAAAGAATCACCTGGAAAGGCTTTTCGAGACAAATATATTCAACCTGGGGGAGGGGAGGCTTTTCAGAATGGATGAGGCAGGGACGGACAAAACAAATGGAAGCCTGTTTTGAAAAGGGACCCCAGGTGATACTGATCACGTCCCTCAACCCACTGTCAAACAACTGACATGAAAGGGACAGGGAGCTCTCCTGGGGTGGGCTTGTAGAGATCATGAAGTTCGGTAAAAGCTCCAAACCCAATGCCCTGTGCCACCCCACCCCAAATCCTACCCATTCTTAAAGGTCAGGTCTAGTCCACCCATGGGGTAGGAGGGACACCACCACACGTTTCAAAGGATCTAGTCCTTGATCAAGACAGATCTGGGTTCATACCACTTAAGCTACGAAAAATTCTAAGGAAACCAGGAGTACAACTGAACTTCCCTTACAAGCTGATGAACATGCAACTCGTTTGTTCAACTCTAATCCTTAATTTCTCCATTTATAGGAAGAGAAGACGATTTACTTTTAAAGTTATTACCTAAATCCTCTTCTGTAAGACACCTAGGATATAGCTGGGATTCAGATTAGTAACCTCTCCCCTGAGAAGCCTCCTCAGACCTTTCCAGCCCACTGGCCCTCTCTTCTCTCCACAGATCCCTGGCTCCTTGTAGTCTCAACAAGACACGTGAGTACTGAGCACTCAGGATGAACACTCTCTCTAAATGCACTTAAAACTCCCAGGACTGCAAAGTCCCCTCGTCTCTTTGAGCCCCATCTTCCCTAAAAGCAAAACAACTTCCAAGCCAGCCTCAGAGGATTAAGAATGTAAAATGGAAGAAAAAGATGTTCGACGTCGTTATGTGACAGCTCTAGGCCCACCTGCGGGGGTTATTTTTCTGCAGGCCCCAGAGGACTTAGCCAGAAAACTGCCAGTTTGCTTGACTGCCTGGGATGAAGGGCTGAGGTCTCAGAGGAAAGGGAAGACTAGGAAGCCAGAGTTTGCAGGGTGGAGCTGGAGGGTGTCAGGATATTTGGAACCACACAGAGAGGGGGTGTGGGTGGGTCCAGCAAAGTTTTCTCTTTTTCTGTGCTTTGGGAGGGAAACAGAAGAGGCCCTAGAAGGTGAGGGGGCCCTGGAGTTCTTCCACCAACGCTGAACCCACCCCCCTCCACTGCCGACCCGTCTTGAAAGTGCTAGACGTTTCATAATAATGGCTTACACTTATTAAGTACTTACTAAGATAATGGTTAGCACTTAATGAGCGCTTGTTATGAAAATACCAGCTAACGCTGGCGTCGGGGACTGACTGCGGGTCCCGGGAAGAGCGGAGGGCCCGAATGCCCGGCCCCGGGAAGGAGGGTGTGTCTGGGCCCAGGGTGACAGGATCAGGACCGGGGCCTAGGGCTCCCGGGGCCAGTCTGGGCTGAGCGGTCCAGCTCAGGGGTCGCGGCCCGCGGCCCGCGGCGCCCCTACCTTTGAGCGAGGTCTCCACCAGCCGTAGGTAAAGCTGTGAGCTCTTGTTGCCGTGGCTCATGCGCTGGGCCAGCCCGTTGCGCTGCAGGACGCACTCCTCAAACTGCACGACGTTCTGGTGGCGCCGCTTGAGGCTGGTCAAGGCCCAGAATTCGGCCAGCGCCAGCTCCACGTTCTCGGGGGCGTCGCAGCGGATCTTCTTGACCGCCACCCGGGCCCCACTGCGCCCGGCAACCGCCTCGTAAACCACGCCGTAGCTGCCGCGCCCGATCTCCGCCAACAGGCTGTAGCGCGGCCGCGCCGACCCGCCGCCGCCCTCCGGCCGCCGCCGCGCCAGGTAGGCCTCGCCCGGGCCCTCGGCCGCCACCGGATCCATGGCTTGGGCCGCCGCCGGCCTCAGCTTCGCGCTGGGCGCCCGCGGCACTGGGCTTCGCCTTTTCCGCTCGGGGCTTTGTGTACCTCTGCGGGCGCCGTCCTCCTCCCCCGTTTCCATGGCTGCGGGCGGCGGGGGGAGCAGCAACGGCGCTGCCCGGGCCCCCCCTGCCTCATCCCTCCGTCCGGCCCTGGGACGCGGAGGAGCGGGACCTTGGATGGTGACCTGCGGCCGAAAGAATCGGTTAAACGACCAGGCCGAGGCGGGGAGGCCAGGAGCGCAGCCGCAGGGCGTCCCACCTCCCCCCTCCTGCCGCAGCGGCCCCTTTAAGACGGAAGCCACTGCTGCAGACTGCACAGGGGAGGGGAGGGGAAAGCGGGCAAGACGAAACCAAAGGGCCGCAGCTGAGAGGGGGAGCCGGAAAGAAAAGCAAAATCTCCCCGCCTTCTTGGTTAATTTATCGTGTAGGGATATGAAAAACCAGGACCAGCAGTCTTCGAGATTCATGAAAATCGCCTTCAGGGGCAATTCGGACTGGGGAAATCTTTTCCCTGCCTGGCCTCCCTGGGGATCCCCCTCCCCGCGCCCCGCCTTGTGTTCTCCCGGGTGTAAACAGTCCATTGAATTAAGCCCGAGCGCAGCCCCGCGGACCGACCCAAGTCCCCGAGGGCTGCGGGTGGAGGGGGTTGGTTTAAAAGTTTGGCGTCCCCTAGAGCGCCAGGCCGGGGCCCAGCAGCCCTCCCCAAGCGCCCGAGGCGGCGCAGGCAGCCCCAGTTTCGGCGCTGGCTTCTACTCAGCATACCGCGCGCTTACCTGGCCGGCGCCCCTCCACTTCCGGGCGGCCCGTCTCCCCCTTGGGGTCCTCGGCTGGGGTTGGTCCGTTCCGGGCCTTGGCTGCCTCCCGCACCGAGTAGCGCGAGAGGCGGCGGCCTGGGCCCTGCGTGCAACGGAGCCCGCTGCCGCTTCAGGGGCGGTGGTAGCGGCGCTCGCGGGGGAGAACCGGGCGTCCAGGCTCCCGCGGCTCTCCACGTGTTCGCGCCAGCTGAGCCCTTTACATAACGTCTTTATATAAGCCGAGCCTCCCGCCGGCACCTGGGCCAGCGGGGGCTCCTGGTGGCCCATCCCCCGGGAGGCCGGTCGAGTACCGAGCCGCCCGAGTCCTGCCAAGGTCGACCGAGCAGCCGCAGCCGGGGCCCAATCACAGGCGAGAACACCCAACCCACAAAAAATAGGCGCCAAATTCCCGCGATCCGCTGCGGCCTCCGGGTCTCCGCAGCCTCCTGCGCAGCACAAACTCCTCTCTCCTGGCCCGCGCTGCGGGATGAGGAACTGCACTCAGTAGGCGCCCAATAAATACTGATTGGTTGATGGGATTGGTCGGTTTGATTGATTCAGAGCTGGTGCCTGGGCACCGCCCGGACTGGGCTGGAATCCACACCCTACCCCCAGTTAGCCCTTTGCTCCTCGCAAATCGGCAAATCGTTGCCCCAGTCACAGCCTCAGTTTCCTCTGCTCCAAAATGGGTAGACTGGGCCATTTCTCCCAAGGCTGATAGGACCAAATGAAATATGTAAATATAAACTTGTATAAAGTGGTTAATTGGTGCAGGCTATACAGTAAAGCACTGAGAACAGAACAGGGCCTTGCACACAATAAACGTTAGGTATTATTATTAAATAAACAAATACACAGGATAACTTTTGACAATAAGTGTGATGGAAATAAGTAATGAGCTACATAGCTCCTGGAATTGGGGACAGGCCACTTCTGATAGTGTGGTCACTGAAATACATTTTTTTATGTGTAAAATTTCAAATTTACATATAGATTGCAAAAATAGTAAAGAATTCTCATATAATTTTCAACCGGTATAACAAATTGTTATATTTTGCTACATTTGCATTATATTCCCTCGTGTATGTGTGTGTGTATACACATACGTATATATAAAATATATATTATATATAATATGTGGATGTTCATTTTTCCTATATAATTTTAGAGTAAGTTTCAGACATAATGCCCCTTTATCACCATATACTTCTGTGTATATTTCCTAAGAACATTCTCTTGCATAACTCAGTACAGTTTTCAAAATCAGAACTTTTCGCAATGATATGATTCTTTTAACATGCCTTCCATATTTAAATTTTGCTAATTGTCCCAGAATTGTCCTTTATAGCTATTCCCGAGGATCCACTTTGAGATCACACGCTGCATTTAGTTGTCTTGTCTCTTTAGTTTCCTTCAATCTGGAAAAGCAGTCAGTTATTCAGCCTTTCTTTGTCTTTCATGACCTTGACATTTTTGAAGAGCACTGGCGAGTTACTTCGTAGAAGTCCCTAACTTTGAATTTGTTTGATATTTTCTCATGATTAGATTCAGGTTATGCATTTTTTGGCAGAAATACTGCTGAAAGAAGCTCACGTTTTCAGTGTATCACACTGGGAGGCACATGACGTTGGTTTGACTCAATATTTGTGATGTTCACTTTGATCATTTGATCAAGGTGGTGTCGCCAAGGTGCTCCACTGAAGAGTTACTGTTTTTCCTTTTGTCACTGTGAAGTTTTCTCTTGGGAAGATATTTTGAGACTATTTATCCTGTTCTTCACCAGACTCACCCACTCACTCACTGGTTTTAGCATTCATTGATAATTCTTACCTGAATCAATTATGACTAGTGTTATTGTAATGTTTGCAAAATGGTGATTGGAAGGCCTCTGTATTGGTCTGCTAGGGCTGCCATAACAAAATAACAGGCTGGGTGGCTTAACAGAAATTTATTTTCTCCTGGTTCTGGAGGCTAAAAGTCCAGAACCAGAGTGTGGGCAGGGTTGGTGTCTCCTGAGACTTCGCTCCTTGGCTTGCAGATGGCCTCGTTATGGCTGTGTTCTCATAAGACCTTTCCTGTGTGGGGGTGCCTTTTTCTCTTCCTGTAAGGGCATAGTCATTTTGGATTAGGACCCCACCATAATGGCCTCATTTTAATTTAACTCCTCTTTAAAAGTGTTATCTCCAAATATGTTACATTCTAAGGTACTGGGGCTTGTGAATTCAACATATGAATTTGGTCGGGGCGGGGAGGGACAAAATTCAGTCTATACCAGTCTCTTTGGAATAGGACGTTTGAGCTGAGACCCGAAGCCAACCATGCTGAAACTAGTGGAAAGGCATTTCAGGAAGAAGGAAGAAGTACAGAGGCCATGAGACAAGAACAGGATTGATGTTAAACTTCAGCCAGTCTGTGAGAGTGTAAAATGGTACAACCACTTTGAAAAAAAGTCTGGCAGTTTCTCATAAAGTTAGATATAAACCTACCCTATGTCCCAACAATTTCAAGCCTAGGTATTTATCTGAGATAAATAAAAACTTACGTTCACAAATACACTTGCGTAAGAATGTGTAAGTGGCTTTTTCCATAAGAGTCCCAAGCTGGAAAATACACCGATGTTCATCAATAAAGGAATGGATAACCAAATTGTGGTATTCATATACTATGAAATGCTGCTTAGGGGGGAAAAAAACCAATGAAGTGTTGATACAATAACACGAATGAATCAAAATAATTCTGCTGAATGAAAAAAGTCAGGCACAAAAGAGTAGATACTGAATGATTCTACATAGAATTCTTGAAAATGCAAACTAATTTCTAGTGACAGAAAGCACATTAGCAGTTGGGCTGAGGACGGAGGGGAGGAAGACAAGGGTACACAGGGAAACTTTTTGAGGTGATGGATATGTCAATTACCTTGAAATTATCTTGTGATAGCTTCGATGGGGCAATACATTAAAAACACTTCAAAGTGTATACCTTGAATAGGTACAGTTTATGGATATCAATTTTACAGCTTTACCTCAATAAAGCTGTAAAAAAAAAAAAGAGGGAAAAGGTACATACTATATGATTCCATTAATAGAAAGTCAAGCAATCCTGATCTATGGTGGCAGAAATGGTTATCTTTGGGGTGGGAATTGACTACAAGGTGTACAAGAGAGTTTTCTAGGGGATGGAATTCTATTGTATGTAAATTAGACTGCAATCAAGTTGATTTAAAAGGTGGAAAAACAAAACCCTGCAGCCATGAACACCTATATCTTTACTTAGAGCCTCTAAGGACCCAGGGCTGCATTGTGTGTGCACCGGGCTGGCCCCGTTCCTGCAACCCCTGGCCCCGTAGGCTGAGCAAGTCCAGTGGCGTCTCTTCCGGCTAGTTTCCCCACCCGAATCTTAAGAGAGATTGGATCTGAAGTTCTAGGAGCGCCACAAGGAGTGCAAACTCTTCTCTATGCTGTGAGAAGGACCAGGCTACTTGAAAAATTATTGATGGCTTGACTAATTTTTTTTCTTCATTTTGATTTTTCTTAAGTTACAGAAGTAACCTATTCTGATTAGGATGAGTCATAGCAAACTTTCTTTCAAGTTTTCTATCTGTCAGGCACAGGAATTAATGAAGAGTTCTCATGCCAATCCTGGGAGGTAGTTACTATCATTAGCCCCATTTTACAGATGAAGAGACCGAGGGAGGAGGTCGCACAGCTGGCATTTGAACCGAGACCCCAGACTCTTCACCCCTGCTTACCGCCTCAGCCCTTCCCAAGGTAAGCATTTATGTGAACATTTATGACAAACACCTCTACCTTCCTTTCCATGCAGCTTCAGACAGCGCTGGACACATGACTGGAGCTCAATATTTAGTGACAGAAGAAATGAAGGGAAATGGGAAGGGCAGCATTGGGGTTTTAGGGTTAGGCGCCTTCCAGCAGGCGCCTGCCTTTGCGGGACTGGCGTAGAAAATGAGACATAATGGAATTCTGTGATTCCAAATAACATTAGTCCTTACAAAGGACAATAAAGCAGATAAAGAGACAGCAAGGGATAGGGTAGGTGCTATTTTAGAATGGGTGGTTTGGGAAGACCTTACTAAGGAGTTGACCATTTAGCAGAGACCTGATTGAAGTAAAAAAGAATCAGCCATATGCTTGTCTATTGGAAGAACGTTCCATGTCAGAGGGAAGAATGGTGCACAGGCTCTGAGACGCGAGCATGCCAGGAGGCCGCTGTGGCTGGAGCAAAGTGAATGAGGGAAGAGAGGGGAAATGAGGAGAGAGATGCCGTGGGGCCATGGTGAGGACTTCGGATTTACTGAGCATGTACAATATACCAAGCACCATGGTAAGCGATGTAGCTGGAGAGAGCTGAGCCTCAGGTCGGTTGCTATTCTCAGAGCTGCCCCAGAGCAAGAAGGCAGAATGGTGATCTCCTTTCCGTCCCCATACTTCAGGGGCTGAGAACATCCAAGGGACAGCCAGCTTTGGGGCTGATTCCACGGGATAATGGGGTTCTGG